TGGACTTCGTAATACTCCCCTCAGAGGATGACTATAAGAATCGCAATGAAGGCATGTTTGTAAGACATCTGGCACAGTAAGTTCTTCATAAATGATACCTATAAAGGTTACTGGTTGAAATTTTTCCAGTTTTTTAAATATCATGTACAAAAGTGCAATGAGAGATAAGAAGTTAAGTTTTCACCCAACCTGTTGCTTAGTATTTCTGTCCAGTTGTATCTTTTGCAAAAACTGATGTTTGAAAAACCTTGAGCCTTGGACTCATATCTTTGGACTCACTGCTGCTTGTCCTTTGAGGGAGGGAGAGTCAGCTCAGATCTCTATGACTTGTAGTTCTTGCCACTGAAGAGGAACCGTTCCACATCATACTGTCAGTGCCACTGGAAAACTTGCAGGAGACAGTGTACAGGGTTTTCACTTGAAAAAATGTGATAAATCCAACTTATTAAAACATAGTGGTCATTGTAAAATTTGACATTTCTCTGGTTAATTTCTGTGCCTGTCAGTTTCCCCTTGCCACTTTTAAAATCTGAGTCCAGATTCTTCTCTAGAAGGAAGCTGCAGATTGTCCCTACTTTATCCTGATAATTTCTCAGTTTTACATCCCTGAACTACCTATCTTCTCAAGCTGCCTTTACTAATTTGCATTTGTAGACATTGCTTAGTAAGTATAATATTTCACGTTATGTTATTTCCCCTCCTTGGTGTTCTTGGAAGCTTGTTCCATGTCATTTATATATTTTGATATCACTATATACAGCTGGTGCAGAAGAGCATTCTGTAATCTCTTTGGAGAGACATTCTATAATCTCAGTACTTGTATTTGCTATTGATGATGAACTAGACAAATTTGAGATTAGCAGTTAATTAGAGGGACCAACCAACACTGTATGCAAGTAAACGAGGTTGACCTGATGGGTGGTGAAGAGGAGATATATAGCATGTTTAGTTGGGCAATCTGGCAAATCAGCAGAGCAGGTGCTCTGAAGGGGAAGTATTATGGGCACATAATACTGGGAACATAAGTAGGAGGTGGTGGTCAGAGAACTTTAAGCCGAAACCTGTTGAGTGAGGTGGAGTTAGCCTGGTGAAGTGGCAAATTTAGGGAAAAAGCTGTTCCACACACAGAGGGGAGAGCATCCTGTGTTCGGAACCAGAGCAAGTTTTATGTGTGATGGTCATAAAGGGGAGAGTGAACCGTGTTCAGAAATTTTAAACATTATCTCAGAGATCGTGGGAAATCATTGAAGAGTTTTAAGCTAGGAGTGTAATCAGAAGTTCAGGTTGGAAAATTCCCCCCAGCTTGGGGATGTGAGGATGGCCTGAGGACTGAGGTTCCTGCAGTATTGCCCAGGTAAGGGAAATTATAGCCTGGGCTATGTCAGGGGCCACCGGACTAGAGAAGGGTGAGCAAGGAGGATGAGATCTCTGTGAGCTGACTGAATGGGGAGAGGGAAGAGCCAAGTGCAGTTCCCAGGTTTCTGGGAGGCCCAGTTGCTTGTTACTCAGTGAGAGGAAGCCTAGGAGGATTGGGAGGGGCGGGCGCGGGGAAGTTGAGCTCAGTTTTGGACAGATTGAGTTCTAGGCTCTGCGAAATTGTCAAAAGGGAAATGGCAATTGAAAATGTGCATTTAAAGTTTAGAGAAGAGAGGAAAAGCACAGTGAGTTGGGTTCTGTGAGTCTCCCCCTTATAGGTGGTCATTGCAGCTGTGAGGTAATAAGACCACCAGGTTGGGGTAGGGGCGGAGAGTGGGAGAAGAGGGCTTAGGGCCCACCCCTGAAGAGTATCCTGCAAGGGAGACTGAGGAGGGCTGGCCAGAGAGGTTGGAGGAAATCCACATTTCAAGGAGGGGACATTTACCAATGTCCAGCCCTACGGAGTTGTGAGGATTGAGTAGGATATCTGGGTTTGGCAGCAAGACCAGTCCAGGGACTTAATGGCTGCCGAGTCCTGAGCAGAAGGTGGAGGAATGGATGGGATGTGCAGAAGCAGCAACAGCATGTGTAGATGCAGTGCTTCTGCTTGCTTGTGTGGCCCTTTAAGGGCATTAGGAAAAGATGTGCCCCCTCTAGGCGGGCACAGTCCCTGGGTATATGACTTGGTGCATGGACCATGGGTCAGACTTCAGCTCTCACATGCCACCTTAGCTGGTGCTGCTGTTTAGTGTGCAGACTGCACCCTCCATGCATGGTGGCTTAAGGTAAATCAGTGGTTCTCAATCCAGGACAGTTTAGCTCCACAGGAGATGTTTGTCTGGAGATGTTTGGCTATGTCTGGAGATGTTTTGGTGATTGCAACTGAGCCAGATTGGGAGGGTGCTGCTATCCTCTAGTGGTCAGAGGCCAGGGATGCTGCCGAACACCCTACAAACACACAGGACAGTCAAAGAATTGTCCAGCCCCAAGAGTTCATAGTGCAAAGGCTGAGAAACCTTGGTGTATGTAGATGAACCTTTCAAGATCTTGGTCTGTGAAGAGGAGGGTATGGGAGGGTGTTAACTGAAGATAGACCTGAAAACAGAGCCCTTACGTACTTTGCTAAATCTCATTTGTGCCATTTTTCATCCTGTCTTCTCACCTCTCTACCAAATAATTCTTATTCCTCAGCTGTAGCTCTTAAGCTGTTTATTGTAGCTATTTTCACTACCCTGAATAAATACTGTAATGCAGGGTAAACTGAGTCCTAATTTCTGTTTCTAGGCTCTTTGTATGACATCTGTATTTTAATACCATTGGTCAGAAAATTCTGTTTTGGCAACCAAGAGACGGATGTTGCTTTAGCTAATCTAAAGTAGTCCATAATTCAGTGTCAGGTTGATAAAAGCTCTCATGCCCGGTCAGTCAGCCCCTTGACTGTCAGACTTGGAAAAAAGATAGGAAGTATTCCTTGTCTTTGGATGCAAGTCTTGTTTCTGGCTTTGGAAAGAAAGGAGTACAAATGGTTCTGACCACATAGGGTTGCAGCGGCTCTCCCGGCATTTTTGGAACAAATCAAGTCATTATCTCACAATGTCAAACCTGGGTTTCTAGATCAGTTGTATGGAACATTTGGGGGCTGATGAGAAAGAGGAGGATTAATTAGCAGCTCCCTTTCTTGGTGTCCTTTTTCAGCCTTCTCGAATTGCAGCATGAGAGTCCGTCAGACATGCTGACTGCTCATTTGGTACTCTGTGTTTTGCATGATGCAAAAGGTTGCTGGCTAAATTTCGTGAGCCCTCTAATGTGAGGCTGTCAGTGTCCTGGGTCTAATGAACAAGAAAGTTTACTGTAACGTGTTATCAATGGAAAAGCACTTCAATTCTCAGAACAGCCTTGGAGAGTCCTAGGTAAGTTTGAAGGGCAAAGCTGCCTTTTCTGTTTCAGGAATATTTTACCTTGCAACAGTGGATAAATCTAAACCCTTTGAAAGAATGGAAACAAGCTGAATATTAAGTTTTGGCAGAGCGTGTTCAAGGCAATGAGAATGTGGGTTAAGAACAGGAAGTCTTAATTTTAAAAAGGTGGTAGCAGAGATGGATTAAATGAGCTGCTGGCTGGATTGAATGTGAGATATGCTTTGATTGTGGGCAAGTTCTTTCTGAATAAATTACTGTATATAGAGATGTATTTTAGACCCTTTTTTATTAAATTGTCTCTAATATAGTTTAAAAAGGCAATGGCCAATGATAAGAATTCTTTCCTGCACAGTGAATACCATTATACAGATGGTACAACTGTGCTTTTTGTGTATCTGTACAGCTTAACTCAGACTACAACCCCACAAAATAGTGAATCATACTGTAGCTTTTAAATTTCTGTAATGGACTAGCCCATGTTATGAAAGGGGAAAATGGTGGTGGGCAGGAAACAGGAAGTCATAGGCTAAAAATGTTGATGTAAAATCTTATTTCCATTTTGGCAAAGTCTTTGATCTTATAGTTAAGAAAGAGCTTGAAATCATCCTACATTTTAAAAATTTTCCCTGGTCAGGACTGTGAGAAATATTGATAAACATTTATCCTGTTTTTAAAGTGTACCATACTATGAAATTCATAATCTTTCTTCATACAGTAGCATATGGTTATCTATAGTTAAGAAATTGATTTTTCATTTGTCTTTTGAGTTAACCAATTCCTTTATTATATGTACTAAAAATTCTTTATGATAATTTCTTGAGGAAAGAATATTTTTATAGATAAAAAATTAAGGAGAAATAAGGTAATCCTTATACTTTCAAAATGTCAATAGTCATTCTAAACCACATTGCAAGCCCTCAGTGAAAATGATTATTAAAGATTTTTTTCTCACTTCAGGTAACCAGAAAATTATGTAGGAAAGGGTCCAAACTCCTTTTTTAGTGTTATTTTACTTATTAACCAAGGAGGGCTTTCTAAAAGTTTGTCAGTGATCTATGGAGGATTCCTGATTTTGTGATTGCTGCACGTGAACTTGGTTCTTCCTGTGCTATTAAACCCTCATTAGACCATGTAGATGCTCCTGCTTGCTTTCTGGGACTATTTTAAGAATAAATAGCAGTGATATTTGCCAAGAATGTTTAAAAAGAGACTGCAAACAAATTTATATTTATTTGAACAAACAGTCATCATGTAGGTGAAAAAAATGCAATAGATGCAGTATGAGAAAATTTTTATAAACAAACATCTCCCCCAACTAACTCACCATGTACTTTGATGTCTGCGTTCCCATAGGGGGGAAAAAAAAAAGTTATACCGAAATGTTAACAGTGGTAAAGTTTCTTTTGGAATTATAGTAATTTAATTAAAATTTTTTTTCTGATTGAGATTTTAAAACATGACCATGTTATATTTATGGAATAAAAGTAAAATAGAGGGGGAAGTTAAGTGTAAATATATAAATGGCAAGAATGTAATAGCCTGTTTAAAGAACTATGCATTTCATGAAATTACAGACGAGAGCACGTAAAATTAGTATTTTCACTTTAATTCTACCAATGATTCCAAAGAAGTTTCTTTGGTTTTCTTTTCTTCCTTAATCCACAGGAAAATGGAAGGGAAGGAAGCACTTGTGAATTTTCAGCTCTTCTGCTCTCTGGTTTCCTCTCTCATTTGATGGTTCGTCTCCCAAGCCTCTTGTTCCAAAGCCTTCTAGAGGGAGTGGAGAATGTCTCATCAAAACCCTTCTGCAAGATCTGTCCCCTACGTTCCTGTAGTAGGTGCGATCACAAAATCAGGCCACTTGCTTCCCTAACACCCCACTCAGCCCTGTGAGAAAAGAGTGCTTTAATTAGTGTACAGTGATTCTGCTTCCTTCTATGGCCGATTTAGTTTAAGTTTCTTCAGTTTATCAGTGAAGAAAATGCCTAGGAGTTATTCATAGCAGAAAAGAACTAAACTGATAGAGGAAAGCTCCATGTACGGTGTTTCAAGGCAGACTCTGTTCATGTTTAGCAGTTTTTGTTTCTTTAGATAAAAGACTAGGCAGCCCTTAGAAAGGACTGTTTTTCCTTCCTTTTCCAATTCCGGCTCACTATTCTAGTTCAGACGGCTGTCTCAGCACACAGCTTGAGACGGAGAGGTAAATGGCCATTTTTTTTAATATTCCTTCTACAAGCCTCTGAACCAAGTAGTGAGAATGTAAGTTTAAAAAACATAAATCTTTTTTTTCTTTTTTGATGTAGTTTATATTTTTGTTTTGATGTGAAAATTTAAGGCCTTGTGAACCTGGCTTCCACTAGCCCCTTGCTGCTTTGTGGGGGGTGGGAGATAAGCCACCTCACTCTGTGCCCCAGCCACCTGGCTCCTTTGTTTCTTTCTCCTCCTTGTCCTCTGGGGTACAAATGGCAGTGACTCCATGACATAGGAACTCGGAAGCTGATGACTAAATCCCCAAGCAGGTGGCTGCCTATTGTCTGTCTGGAGGAAGTGAGCAGGATTCATCCTGGGACTGCTTTCATCTCCTGATGCCTTCTAGGGGGCAAAATGATCCTTAATTGGGATTGGGGGATTGCACACACACAGTCCTGGGTCAGAAAGTTCCCTAGGGAAAACTGCCTTGGTGGCTTTGGTCTTTTTTCTCCACATAACTCTGAGGCCTTTCAGAGAGAGGACTTGCTTTTTCATTTGGGCACATCTGCAACGTGATGTCAGTGATGTCAGTAACACTGGATTGGATGCAGATATTCAGAATAATGAGTTCTTATTTAAAAAAAAAACAAAAAGCAGACACATTGCAGGTGGAATAAATAAGCAAACAATCTGTGCTTCCCCCCGAGGTCATAATTTTTAGTATCTTTTTAGATATTGGTGATTCTAAAGAGAAGTTTCAATCTTTAAATGGGTTTTATGCTCACCATTAGGGTGTTTAGTATCAAAAACACACTTTTCAATAACATGGTGCTAGCTACCTGTTCCTCCCACAGCCACTCATAAGGCTGACTACAGATCTTTAACAATGTATATTTTGGGGCTGAGTAGCAAGAACAGATAGGTCATCTTCATAAAACGCCGTTGTCAGAAAGTAACCTGGACTCCTTTGACAGATTAAATTCTTTCAGAAGTGGGAGGCAGTAGCTGTAAGCCTGAGAAAATACTCACACTCTCAATTCTAGGTCTCTGGGATTGTGAGAAGTAGGGGCTTAATTATAGAGAAAGGTCCAGCAGTCAAACATTTCATTTCATTTCATCCAATTTCTTTTTCCATTCTTTAACCAAACTATCTATCTTTTGACTTTCTTCAACTCTGCTTCCTCTTCTCCCTGATAATTTTATTTTGATCTGAAAATTTAAGGCCTTATGATTTAAGGCCTCCCTGATCATTTTCTGCCATATGTTTAGAGGTTTCTCTAAGAGAATGTAGCTCCAGGAGTTTTGAATTTTAATTCAGCCCTCTTTTTGCCATGTCGTGGTATCTCGCATCTTGAGAGAAGCTGAGTGGGAGACAGGAAGGGAAAGCTGGAAAAGAGGTGAGGAGCCAGAAAAGAAAGCAAAACTGGAAATTGAAGGCAATGCATGAAGAACATGACATGAAGGAGGATGGCAATTCATGGTTACTGCCACGTATGTAACCAAAACTGTGATGAGACCATGAAGCTTTTCCCCCTCACCAGGGCTTTTCCCAAGTTACAATTAAAGTAGAAAGATAAGGTGAGAATGAAAGCACGCTGGGGGTGGGGAACAGAGAAAGAAAAACAGATTTGCCTATTTCTCTCTTTAATCTAGATTGACTAGATGAGAGGAACAGTCATTACCCATGATGATATTTAATACCAGATTAAGTATACTAGGTTATTTGGTTTTATAAGAATGAGTCCCAAAATTTTAAATCTGAAGTTAGCTGTCTGTTTAAACTCAGAGTCCAAAGTTTTTTTTTCAGCTTTTACCACATTCTGCTTTTGGAAACCAGAAAGATGTTGAAAGAATTTACCTTCTCATCTGACAGTATTGCATGTCTGAAAACCTAACTGATCCAAATGTGTGTTTAACGGTGGAACTAATAGAGTTGGCTGGGCGAACGTTGGCAGTAGATGCTCTGATTGGGGGAAGAGTGGTTGAACAGCATGTGCAAAGGCCCTGAGATAGGAACGGGGCTTTAGCCTCTTCGAAGAACACATTAGCATCCTGTGATTGCTGTAGGAAAATGGACAACAGGAAGACAGAAGTAGAAGCAGGAAGATCAGTTAGTAAGCTCAGGAACTAGGTCTGTTACTGGTAAATGGCCAAGCCAGGTCAGGTCTCAGACCCAGGTCTGTAGAAAGATAAGGCATCATCTCCTCAGCGTTTGTTAAACAATATATGGTAATGATGTTCATGTTAACCCAGAGCATATTTAAAAAGTTGTTAACTGACAGATATCTTTCGATATGGCTTATTGGTCTTTTAATTATAACATAAAATGTATGTTAAATTATCAATTGCAAAAAGGAAGAGAAGTACTCATTTGAATGAACCAGCAGAAACTTGGAATTTTGCCTGCCTCTTCTTCAGCCTTGCCAAAACATAATTTCTTTAATTCATCCAATCACATTCTTGACTAATCTGCGCAAGTCTGTACTATGCCTTGGCTTTTCCCCCATAACAGTTTAGAGATCTTTAAAGTAAATATTTTGAAATGCTTTCTCTTGATCAGAGCGTTTGTGGTTAGATGCTGTGTACACTGCTTTTATTATAGAATGCGTTGTTTTTTCAGTCATGGGGACCTTTGTTAGGAATGAATGCAGTTGTAATTTTGTCACCTTTATTTTAAAAATCATTTATCAGGTGCTTTTCTATAGAAGGTGATTTCAGATGTTTACAACCTTTACTTTGTAGAGACTTAAGTATGTTCAAAAGTATTTAAAATGGAATAGTTTTGTTAGCTAATAATAATAAAATTACTATTGTGGGTTGAGGGCTGCTTTGTGCCAGGCAGTGTGCCTTTTCTTTTAATCTAATTTATTTTCTGATTACAGTTATTTTCTGATACAGTATTATATTAGTTTCAGGTGTACAACATAGTGATTAGACATTTATATACCTTACAAAGTGATCACTCCAATAAGTCTAGTCCCCATCTGACACCATACATAGTTATTACAGTATTATTGACTGTATTCCCTATACTGTACTTTACATGCTGTGACTGTTTTTATAATTGCCAGTTTGTATTTCTTTAATCTCATTCACTTTTTTCACTTATCTCCCCAACTGCCTTCCCATCAGGTGACCATCAGTTCTCTGTATCTATAAGTTTGTTTCTGTTTTGTTTGTCATTTTTTTTTTAATTCCACATATAAGCGAAATCATATGGTGTTTGTCTTTCTCTGACTTATTTCACTTAGCCTAATATCTTCTACGTCCATATATATTGTCACAAATAGATTTTGTTCTTTTTTATGGCTGAGTAATATTCCATTGTATATACATACTACATCTTCTTTATCTATTTGCCTGTTGATGGATGCTTAGGTTGCTTCCATATCATGGCTATTGTAATGAACATAGGGGTGCATATATCTTTTCAAATTACTGTTTTGAATTTCTTCAGATAAATATCCAGAAGTGGAATTGCGGGATCATATAGTATGCTTGTAACATCTTTGATTTTTATGACTTCCCTATGCCGAAGGTTCTACTGTAATAACACATTTGTTTGTTTTTGCTTTCGTTGCCTTTGCTTTGTGTCACATCCAAAAAATCATTGCTAAGACCGTCAAGGAGCTTGCCACCTGTGTTTTCTTCTAGGCGTTGATAGTACTGTAATTTTCAGTTTACATTTGGGAAAATTGAGGCTTAAAGCGGATTAGTAAGTTTTCCAAGGTGGGAAGTGACAGAGCTGAGACTTGAACTCAGGCCCTCTCAGAGTCCTTGCTCTTCAGTCCTGTGCAGTGCTGCTTTCAGGGTCGAGTTTGTTTTAGGCAGTTGTTGACAGTCACTTCAAATGCTGAGAACTAGTGTAACATGAGAGAATGAGTAAATTTGAGCAATATAATGAAATATTGTCTTATAAACTATTGTAAGGGTTTTGTTCTAGAGACTATGTATGAGGAATAAGAAAAATAGAAGCTAATTGCTAACTTTCACATTAGTCAACTCACCCCGAATTTTTGGTAAATTCAAAGCTTCCTTCTATTTGAATTTACTTTTGTAGGAATTTTTGGTAAATTCAAAGCTTTGGTAAATTTTTTTGGTAAATTTTTGGTAAATTCAAAGCTTCCTTCTATTTGAATTTACTTTTGTAGGAATATTGGAAGATCAATGAAGTACTCTCCATGAGTTTAATGCAAATTAAGCCCAAACGTAATGGCAATCTCGATGAATGATCACTTAAAAAATATTATTTATACCTATGGTTCTCAAACCATAATGTTCATCCAAATCTCCTGAAGGCTTTATGAAAATATAGATTGCTGGGTGGGGCGCCACCACCAGACTTGCTGATACAAGAGGTCTGGGATTTGTCTGAGAATTTACATTTTTGACAAGTTCCCAGATGATGCTGCTGCTGCTAGTCTGGGGACCATACTTTTGAAAAGCACTAATATGGGGACAGTATTACATGCTAATTAAATTAGATGGGATACTAGCTAATCCCTGAGAAAGCCACTTCCCATTTTCAGACCACATCCACAAAGCAGAATATCCGCCAGGGTCAAGAGTGGTACAGTGACTCCATGGAGCCATCCCCACTATTGGGAAAAACAGTGGGGTCATCTCACCTGCCTCAACTCCTCCTCCC